TGCGCGCGCGAATGTCCACTTTACCTTATTTTTTGCAAGGGATTATTGAAATTTGATTATGTTAGAACAAGAAAAAGTAGCTCGCGCGAGCTCATGTAACATAAATGTTGAAAAACCATTGGTTTTGTGGGATTCGGACAGCGCGCGCGGAAGGACATTTTGACAATTTTTTCTTAAAAAACCATTGGGTTTTTGATGTTTTTATGTTAAAATCGTTACGAAACCTAAGGTTTTGGAAGGATTTCGTCTTGCGCGCACGAATGTCCACTTTACCTTATTTTTTGCAAGGGATTCTTGCAATTTGATCAAGTAAGAACAAGAATTTTCATTTTATAGTGTTTTTTGCAAGGGAAAGCGGAACAACAACCGGATCCGGTACTAATCCACTTTTCTGAAGCTTTCGCTAGAAAATGAAGGAAATGAGGCTGCGGCCTAGGTTTTGGAGGGGGGTCGTGCACCAGGGGCCCCAACAATAATTATTCTTTAGAAGTAATAATGTTCAACAACAACAACAACAACAACAACAACAACAACAACAACAACAATCATTTTACCCGAACGCTCAGTGTTCTCCCCAGTGCCAGGGTTTTCATGCGACGCCAGCCAATACCCCCACTTCGTGGGGGGGCAATGCAAGCTCTACCAAACATCCACACGACTCTAGGGAACCACCCACACCCAGCTTCCCGCCCTATGACGTCAGGACACTTCACTTCGTGGCGCGCGGACGATCGTGGATACTACACTGGCGTGGAGTACACACCCGCAGAGGTTGATCACTTGTTTGGGCCCCGCATGTGCCCCGCATCGTGCATTCGTTGCGCATGACATAGAGAGAGCAAGACAGAGAGAGAGAGAGCAAGACAGAGAGACAGAGAGAGAGAGAGAGAGAGCAAGACAGAGAGCCAGAGGAGAGAGAGATAGAAAGAGATTCGTCACATGTGTGAGGCAACCTGAGAAGATGTGGTACACGGTACACGTGAGATGGTACGCACTGCCAAGATAGTTGGTCACATTTTTGGGGCAATTTCCTGGGAAGGCGATGAAGCAGAAAGCGAGATAGATGTGTTCATATGATAGATATGAAGCAGAGAAAGAGCGAGAGACATAGAGAAGGAGAGAGAGGAGTCGGTCACATCTTTAGGGCAACTTCCTGAGGGATGTGGGAGGACACAAGAGAGAAGGTATCGTTGTCCCGATGGTTGTCTCGATGGTTGCCCCGATGGTTGTCCTGATGGTTATGGTTGTCCCGATCGTTTTCCCGATGCGCGAAGAAAAAACGAATGTGTCCCGCATGGTATTATTTGACAGGGATGATGGCCCTGGCAGGTGCGCAACCGTTGTCGCAGAAGTTTGAAAAAGTTGCTCGCAAAAGCCCGTTTGACAAAATTGTTTAAAAAGTGATGGTTTTCCTACGAATCCGCAAGAGCGCGCGGGATGAGATTTTGACAATTTTTTATTTAAAAAACCATTGGGTTTTTAATGTTTTTATGTTGAAATCGCTCCGAAACCTAAGGTTTTGGAAGGATTTCGTCTTGCACGCGCGAATGTCCACTTTAGCTTATTTTTTGCAAGGGATTCTTGAAATTGGATTACATTTGAACAAGAAATTTCATTTTATAGTGTTTTTTGCAAGGGAAAGCGGGGGGGAACAAAACAACCGGATCCGGTACTAATCCACTTTTCTGAAGCTTTCGCGAAAAAATAATGAAAATGTAGCTGCGGCCTAGGTTTTGGAGGGGGGTCGTGTACCAGGGGTCCCAACAATAATTATTCTTTAGAAGTAATAATGTTCAACAACAACAACAACAACAATCACTTTACCCGAACGCTCAGTGTTCTCACCAGTGCCAGGGTTTTCATGCGACGCCAGCCAATACCCCCACTTTGTGGGGGGGCAGTGCAAGCTCTACCAAATATCCACACGACTCTTCGCCACCACCCACACCCAGCTTCCCGCCCTATGACGTTCGGACACTTCACTTCGTGGCCTGCGGACGACCGTGGCTACTACACTGGCGTGGAGTACACACCCACAGAAGTTGTTAAGCCTACGTTCGTACACCCACAAAGGCGCCGCTTGGGGTCCTCTTGAGGGGCTTTGGGGGGCTTCTTGGAAGCATCTTGGGGCCTCTTGGGGGCTTATTGGGTCCTCACGGCGGGCTCTTGGGGCCTCTTGAAGGCCTCCTGGGGCAACCTATGGCGCAACCAGTAGGGGGACGTTTTATTCTCGGCGGCCGAGGGCGCAACCTATGGCGCAACCAATAGGGGGACGTTTTATTCTCGGCGGCCGAGGGCGCAACCTATGGCGCAACCGCAAGGGATTGTGGCCCCTGGCAGGCGCGCGAACCCCGTTGCAAGAGCGTGCGAAAGTAGCAGAAGTTCGAAAAAGTTGCTCGCAAAAGCCCGTTTGACAGAAATGTTTAAAAAGTGTTGGGTTTCCTACGAATCCGCAAGAGCGCGCGGGATGAGATTTTGACAATTTTTTGTTGAAAAACCATTGGTTTTTTGATGTTTTTATGTTAAAATCGTTGCGAACACTAAGGTTTTGGAAGGATTTCGTCTTGCGCGCGCGAATGTCCACTTTACCTTATTTTTTGCAAGGGATTCTTGAAATTTGATTATATTAGAACAAGAAATGTCATTTTCTATTGTTTTTTGCAAGGGAAAGCGGATTACAACAAAACAACCGGATCCTGTACACACCCTCTTTTCTGAGGCTTCCTCACGAAAATGATGAAAATGTAGCTGCGGCCTAGGCGGCGCAGGGGGGGCGCGCACCAGGGGGCCCAACAATAATTATTCTTTAGAATAAATAATGTTCAACAACAGCAACAACAACAGCAACAACAAACGACAACGACAACAGCCACAACAACAACTACAACGACAACAGCCACAACAGCAACAACAGCAACAACAGCAACAGCAACAGTAACAATTGCAACAATTGCAATAAACAGTTCAATGTTGATCGCTCTGAGTTGCTCGCGGGCCATTCAGCACGTATGTCCCAAACCCTCGATATCCGACCTCTTCGTCTTGGATCGTATCCCTTTAGGGGTATATCTCTGTCTTACCTGCAACGTATATTTCGTGCAGCCCCTAAGGCAGCGGAAGAGAGGACCTAGGAGCAGAAAACACGTGGCTGTCCCCCCGCTCTGCACCCTCGTGCAGCTTCAGCGCAGCAGCGCACCTGCCTCCTCACCTTGGCCGTGGCGCACCACCGCTCTGCTAACAACTTGGAGGCCTGGAAATGGGCACCAGCACCAACACAGGGGGTTGCCTCCACAGGGGAAGATGATCCTAGATTTCGAAGTTGGTGGTAATACTTCGGTCACCTTGGAAGCCAGAATATCACCACCATCAGCGTGATCGGGACCTTCTTCCTTCGGTGGAGGCACACCGCCGACATTGGTCTTGGTGTCGACCTCTAGGCCTGCCAACGGCAACATGGTGCACCGAAGCGGCCGAGGGTGATCACGCCAACCTGCCCAGAGCATCTGGGCCTCCCGGCACGATGCCGTATCTCTCCCCCCGCAGTGCAACCACGCCGAGAGACTGCCACCACACGACCTCGTTGCCGACAGCCGATGGACAGCCAAGAGGCCGTGGCCGCAGGCGGCTCCCCTGGAAAGCGTCCCAGAGAGTAGCTGACGCAACAGTGGCGAGGAGGACGAGGACGACGAGGACGACCTCGGAAACGATTGGACCAGTCGGACAGACGCAGCGCGTGCGCATCCCAAGATGGCCCGGCCGACCGCTCGTGAAATCGGAGCACACGCGGCGCGCCGTGGTCATCATGCCTCGCCGCCCGGCACCCGAAGCTTCGACCAAGGGCACTGGGATGCTGGTCACCCTGGGGGCGATTGGACACACCAACAGATGAATAAATCAACGCTCGGGACTAGTACCTGCGCCTGTCTGCGCATTGCTCCAGACCCGATCAAGCTAGACCGACCATGCTTATCGAGTACCGTGCCCCGGGCGATCGGGACACTTCAAGCATGAGGCGGAGGAGGGACGAAGACGAGGAGCAGGCAGGCATTGCAGAGCACGGGAATCAGGAGAAGGATCTGGCCCCTCTAGGCCGCTCGCCGCCCTTACCCTTTGGAGGGCCCTTCGAATCCCAGCTCTTGCCGAAACCTTTGGAGCCCCAGTCTTTCCCTCCCGCCTTGCCGTCCTTGCCACCCTTGCCGCCTTTGTCGCCCTTGCCGCCTTTGTCGCCCTTCCCCTTCGGCTGGAATGGGCAACCCTCTTCGATCGCTATCTCGCCAGCCTCTGCGGAGCTGAGGGCAGGCATGGATCTGGAGTATCGAGTCCTCCTCCTCGTGCACATCCTTCTCATCACTTCCCTTCCCCTCATCATTCTCCTCCTCCTCCTCCTCCTCCTCCTCCCCCTCCTCCTCATCCTCCTCATCCTCCTCCTCCTCCTCCTCTCGCCGCCCTCCCTACGCCTCCCCATCCTTCTGGAATACCTGTTCCTTGAGCGGGTCCGGTAGAGTCTACCTCCCTCTCCTCCATCCCTTGTCATCATAAACAACTCCTCCCTGCCGGATCCCCAGACGTCTTGGTAGAGCGGGCTGGGCGTTCCGCCTGAAACGTCCTCGCCATTTATGATCCTGAAGCTTGAAGTTTGCAACGGCTACAAGAGTGGAGGGGGGGTCGTTCTCAGAATGTGGCTCTCGCCTTAGCGTCGCGCACCTTGGTTTGAAAGCTCACACGAATTTCAAGGATGGCGGAGGAGACGTGTTTAAAAACCTGGCTCTCGCCTTAGCACAATGCACGTCCGTCTCAGAAGTGTCCAACATTTTCACGGATGGAAATGGTCATGCTCCAAATGTGGTTCCAGCCTGAACGTAGTGCACATCCGTCTGAGAAGTTCGAAGCAGCTTCAAGGATGAATGAGGGTCGTTTTCAAAATGTGTCTCCCACCGTAGGGCAGTGGACATCCGTCTTAAAAGTTGGCAACAGCTTCAAGAATGGAGGGCAATTCGTCTTCAAAATGTTGCTCTCACCTTAACACCGCGCACATTCTTCTCAAAAGCGTGCAGCAGCTTAAGAATCAAGGGGGGTCATGTGTTAAATGGCGTTCTATCCTCAGCGCTGGGCACATTCGCTTCTGAATAAGACAATGAGAAGAATGGAGGACTGGTCTTTTACAGCATGGGTTCTCGTTCGAGAATTCGCTCACTCGAAAGTCCTGGAACCTCAACGCATGTAGCACTTCACAGATGCAGGGCGGCTATTTTCCTAAATGGAGCTGCTTCTTGAGACCTCCTCGAAGTCTATGGCCACAAGCGCAAGCTTGTGCAACGGGTACACGAGTGGGGAGTGGTCCTTCTTCGAAAGAAGGATCTCACTCTTCACCCCGTTGAACTGTATAGTCATAGTTCTTTATGTGCTTGATTTCGCGCCAGAAAAATGCAAGGCCGTTCATGTCCAAAACGGAACCCACACCAAAATGGCAGGCCCGACTGGTCTTTCAAGGGGGGCACGTCTTGTAGCGAAGAAGCTTGCAGCGACGCATAACAATGGGACTTGGGATGGGAGGGTGTATGCAGCGTACCTGATGCATGTTGCGTTTACTCTGGTCCTCCTCCTCCTGCTCTAACTTTTCCTCCTCACCTTTTAACCAATATCACGAGTGCGGCGGACCGATGGAGCCTCGGGAGCCCTGATCGGCGAGCCGGGATCGATCAGGACAAGCCAGGAAATCCTCCCTGCCGAATCATCCAGAGAAACAGAGCTGCACTCCGTGTCCCGCACACGGACGAACCGCGCAGCCTAGAGGTTAGCTGCACGGCTAGCTTAGGAGGGACTGCAGCTCGTGAACTCACGTCGAATACCGAGTGCAGCCTAGAAGGAAAGCAACGCGACTAGGAGGTCGCAACCATGACAACATGCAACTTCATGGAAACAACCCCAGCAGCCCGCTGGGCGTAGGTGGCTGAATGGGCCACCTCCTCCATACATCCTTGCCCCTTGCCCTTCGGGGCGAGGGGCCACTGTCCCCAGCAGACCAACAACAAAAAACAACTTCCCCCCCTCGACCCGGCGGCGCAGAGCCTGGATCACGAGCGGGCAACCCGAGAGCCCTTGATGTGTTGGCTCTCGGCATGGATGGCGCGGGCACGTGCGTCCGCCGTGCGCTGGCACGCTGCCCCTCCTCCTCCTCCTCCTCCTCCTCCTCCTCCTCCTCCTCCTCCTCCTCCTCCTCCTCCTCCTCCTCCTCCTCCTCCTCCTCCTCCTCCCTCCTCCTCCTCCTCCTCCTCCTCCTCCTCCTCCTCCTCCTCCTCCTCCTCCTCCTCCTCCTCCTCCTCCTCCTCCTCCTCCTCCTCCCTCCTCCTCCTCCTCCTCCTCCTGGCCGAATACCGACGCAGAATGATTGCTGACGCACACATCACACACCCTGCTGGCTACCCCGCTGCCGTTGTCCGCCTGCTTCTGATGGGGGTGGCGGGGATGCCGACATCTTGCCCGACGTACGCTGCCACGCGCAGTGGCGCGCCTGGGCCACTCTGCGCGCGTCGCGCACCTTCCGCAGCTAGAGCACGTGGCGCTCTGAGCTCACGCGGACCACGACGCGCATCAGGCGCGCCTGGCACGCGTGGCGCACCTCGCGCGCGCGTCGCGCACCTGGCGCCTACACAGGTTATCTTCGAAAGGCAAATCCCAAATCAACCCTGCGGAACGCCATTTGGTCTGGTTAGGACCCCCTGTCCCATAAAAGTGTGGGACGCCATGATCTCCCATTCGCACGTGCGTGACACGTGTTTCGCATCCGGCGCTCACGGGCACCACTAGGCCTCACTGCGAGACACCTGGACTGGACACCAAGTTGGAGCACCAGGACGGGACATTCCAAGGAACCCCTAGACGGAGCATGGGGCAATCAAAGGATACCTTGGACATTCCAAGACGGAACATAAACCATATTCCAAGGAGCACAGAACATTTCAAAAAACACATTGGCCACGAACGCCAGATCCGTGCGCACGCCGAGTGGGCGCCCGCACGCGCCCGTTTGGGCTTGGCGGTGGTGGCCGTAGCCTCGATGTGGAAAAACATCTGATGTGTCTGAGGAACACAACCTGGAGTTCAACAAGAAGCCAATCAGCCGAGATGCCAGCCAGCCAACCGACTAGAAAACCAACAAACCAACCAACCAAGCGCGGCCAGGCGGGCAATCTGAAGGGGGGGCTGGCGGCAGAGGGCGAAGCCCTTCAGATGACACGTTGGAACATGTTGGGACATTCCCAGACGTTCCCACATACGTAGCGCATTGCAGGGAAGACGCTGGGACACTGAATGAGACATTCCAAGGTGACCCCAGACACCTGCGCAGGTGCCACTCTGCGTCCTCTCCCTGGGTCCCTCCGCCCCCGTGTCGGCAGTGTGGGGAGGAGGCGAGTAGACACTGGCCTCGAGAGACTCGAAGAAAGTCTGCATAAATGCGACGTCGTGCACCTTCGGGTCGGTGTTTCCTTCCGCATGGACCTCCGCATCCGCTCGGAAGAGGAGCATACCACAGGGGGCATGCCAAGGAAGGAGCACAGCAGCAGCAAGACTTGCGCCATCGGCAGGAAGAGTATCACGGGTATCACCAGCTCGACCAAAAGAGGAGGCTACTGAGGCATCCGTGACACCGATGATGGTAGCAGTTGCTACAGGAGGAGGAGGAGGAGGAGGAGGAGGAGGAGGAGGAGGAGGAGGAGGAGGAGGAGGAGGAGCAGGAGGAGCAAGAACAGCAGCAGCAGCAGCAAGTAGGAAGGGGGGAGGGGCGAGGCACTCGAGGCTTCATAGAAGGCCTTTCATAGCTCCTGGAGGCTCTGCGGGGGGGGGGGGTCCTCAGACCTCTTCTGGAGGGGGGGGGGGCGAGGAGGAGGAGGAGGAGGAGGAGGAGGCAAAGGACGCCAGCCTCACGCCTACTCCGACCCTGGCACGGCCCATCCTGGGCCCATCTACACGGGGCCACAAAATATACACCACCACCACCTCCCTGACCCGATCCCTCTCCCAGGAGGAGGAGAGGGGAGGAGGAGGGCAGAGGAGGGAGGGGGAGTGGAGGTGGTGGTGGTGTAGAACCCTGGGGCCCGCACTACAAGCACAGCCCTCGCCGCACGACGCGGAGGCGGCAGAGGCCCCGACGGCCCCCTCGCCTGCCGCGCGCCCTCCACGCGCGTGGCCGCTGCCGGCGGCGCCCGCGGAGGTCGCCGGAGGGCGCGCGCCGCGGCGGCGCAGACGGAGGCCCGGGGCAAGCCCGGGCCTCCGCCTGCATCCCTAGTGCGAAGACGGGAGCCTCAGTGAGACTACTCCGGATTCCATACTAAAGTGGTGGGGGTCACATTTGGGGGGGGTCTGATTTGAGCTGTCTTGGAGGGTTCGGGGGGGGTCTGGGCAGAGTGCCGCCCTTTCATGGATGGTCTGGGGGGGTCTAACACTTCTCGTCTGGGAGGGTTGAGGCCCCCTCCCTTTTATTACGAAATCTGGGGTACGTCTTCACATCGCGTTATCGGGCTTGGGGGCTCTTTCGTCCTCAAGGGTGGCATGCAGGCCCGGAACACCAAGCGGTGCACGGCCAGACCCACGGTCGGCGCGTCGCGGCACGGCGACATCCCCGCATGCCGCAAGCCGAGCACGGCACGGCACGGGACGGCGCGGCAGCTCTGCCGCATGTCCTGCAGTCCAGGCACGGCACGGCACGGGGAACCGCTTCGCATTCGCTTCGCACTCGGAAGACCAAGCACAGCACGGCGCGGCAGCTTTGCGTATTCTGAAAATCAGGCACGGCCTGGCACGCCACGGCAACTTTTTCTCCTGAAAGCCAATCGTGGCACGGCATACTCCTCCGCGTTCCGAGAACCAGGCACGGCACTGCGCGAAAGCTTTTGCACATTCTGAGAAGCAGGCACGGCACGTGACGGCACGTTAACTCCTTCGCAATCGGAAAGCCAGGCACGACATTGCACGGCACGCCAGTTTGTCGCATTCTGAAAACCAGGCACACCACGGCACGCCACAGCAAGTCTCTCGCGCTCCACACCCCCGACTGTTTGACGCTCCACACCCCCGACTGTTTGACGCCTTCGAAACCCCGTGCCTATCTCGCTGTCCGGAGAGCACGGCGCGGCAGGGCACGGCAGGCACGGCACGGCACCTCACCGCACGCGGGCACCGCCTGACACATCCACGGCACCTCCCCCCCTCTTCAAAACCCCGAGAGCGGCACGGCAGGCGGCAAATATCCCACGGCCAGGCACGTGCTCACCCTGCCAACGCCGAGCACGGCACGCCTGGGCACCGCCCCGCACGCGGGCGGCGCACCCTCCCAACGACACGCAGCGCGGCACGGCGCGCCACGGCACGAAGGCACAGCACGCAGCGCGGCACGTGCGCAGCGAGCGTGCGCTGCACTCTGCGGGCGGGGCACGGCACGGCACGGCACGGCACGGCACGCGGGTGCGGCACACAGCGCGGGCACGGCACGGCCAGCTGATGGTCGCACTCTGCAGACGAGACCCCCCTTCTCGAGTCCGTTCGGACCCCTTCCGGCACGCGCTGCACAGGGAAGCATTGCCTCCAGAGGCCTGGCGGGGGGGGGGGGGGGCCTGCTTCCGCCTGCAGGAGCGGCCCCGGGCACCGCGGTTGCGATGGCCCGCTCCGCGGGAGCCGCGTTCCTCCGCCGAGAGTGGCCCCTTTTGGCCGTGGCCGAGAGGGGTCACGGGGCTGCATTCTCGGGTCGGCTGTGCCTGGGGCCCCTCAGGGTTGCGCAACATCTGGCTGCGGAACTCCCGCCGGAGGCGCTTGCCGTGCGACCCAGACAGCCATGGCTCCAGGTCACGTCCGTCGCCCCTGCAGGCGAGAGAGCCCCGAGGACGCAGGGGTCGTCGTGCCCGACGCACTCTCTGCCGGAGTGTGACTCTCACATGCCAGGGCTGCTCGGTCTGCCAGGGCCTGCCGCCCAGTTCTGACAGCAGATCGACAGAGGCACGTGCCAAGCTACAAATCCTTCGAGGGGCCACGTTGCTTTATGCGGCCGCGTCCACGGAGTCCTCTGGCGTGGCCAAAGACGTTTCTAGAGTCAGAACTGAATCCAGCTCCAATGAAGCCGATACTCGCAAACGCAATGCTCTGGGCCGGAATCCTGCTATGCTGCTCCGCCCTTCGCCTGCGCGCTCTGCGCTCTAGAGGGTCTGCGGGTACTGCGCGCTCTGCGCCCTAGAGGGTAGAGGGTCTGCGGGTATTCGATGGGAATCCTCATCGGACCCAGAACTGCGCTAAGCTTTTGGGGGCTCCTAACCATGAGGGCCCAGGTCCGGTTTACAGGCAGGTCCCAGCAGCGTGAAGTGTGGGAGCCCCGTCGGGGTGGCCGGCCTGAGAAGACTAGGGGACGTGGCTCGAGGGACGGGCTGTGGGCACGGGCGGCTCCCCAGCACCTCGGGGGCGAGTCTTGCGCAACGCGTCACGGGCATCGAGCTCTCCCAGATCCCCATCGGGCACGCACTTCAAACACGCTCTGACAACGCTCACTCCCGAGTCTGCCGCCTCGTACAAAGAAACCGGCCGACGTCGACACGAAACAGCTGCTTCCACAGCGGGAGGCACGCAGCACGACTGGGCCGTGCACTTCTAAGCATGACAGCAAGACCATAAGGCGTCCTCATGGCGTTTCTACTTTGGAAGGCTGGGAACTTGTCACTGCTGCCTTTGGACGATCTGCCACCTGACATGTGATTTGCCGTCTCGGCGTGCCGACCTGTTCCCCCATGGTGGATCCCATGCTCTCGAGCCGCTCTGCCAAGGTCGTGCTGACATCTGTACTGTTAGTCCTCCCGCGAATATGTGATCGAGACTGGTGGATAAACTTGCTCCCGAAGCCGCCCAATCAATCAACTGTTGCACGAGGACCGTGAACGAAGCTTCGGCGCGGGAAACTGACAATCGTCGCCCCGGAAACAGTTTCTAAGGAGGACCGCTTCACAGTCACAGTATGCTCACACATAGGAGTTAGAATCACGATTTGCTTAGCGAATGCCGAGCAGGAAATCCAAAACACACGAATCCAGACTGGACTACTAGTCCTTCGGCTCACATGCAGAGTTGCACGATGATGCAGGAAAATCTGTCAGACGCGACCGAGTCTACGATTGACGTCACGCGAGCAGGCTTCGCAACACGAACTGACAGCGATCCGACTACTACCTCTTCCTCAACGCAAGAACTACCATCAGTAGATAGCGATCCGATCACCACCTTGCCCGCAGCGATGATAACAAGTGCAGAGTCGACCTGGGTTCAGACAAGACGCCCAAGACGTAACAGCTCTAGGAGAAGGATGTGATTACATTGCTCGGCAAGTCATGTACTTAAAGAAGCCATGGCGCCAGAACTTCTACATCTGATTGTGCCCCATTCGTGACGAAAGAACAAGCACGGCGTGCCATGTCTCTGGTCCGCGCGGTCACTGGGAACCGAAAATCTCACCAGCCTTCTGGGCGTGAGTGGTCTAGGGAGCTCGTTCTGCTAACCCCCTTCGTCCCCTTCGGAGAGGGGGCTCCCTACCCCCTCCCACATGGGTCTGGAGGGGGGGGGGCCGAAGAGATCCTGACAAGCATCTAGAGATACTGTCCTCTTCTGTTCCACTACATGCTGCTACACATCCCTGATCAGGGCATCTCTCCTGACGACTGCTTTTAGATGGGATGGTCCGGATACAGAAAGCGTGAAGACTTTCTTGAATGTTTCACGAAGACCATCATGTCATGAAAAAACTGCATGTTCGAAGTCTGTGTTGAAATATTCCCCGGTCCGTCTCTTCCAGAATTACAAGCACCTGCTCGCCTCTAGAGGCCCAACATGGTCAACTCAAATTGGGACCAGCTACGAACCACGTTTTTCAACAGACTGATGACAATCAGCCCAGAACGCGAGCGGAGACCACTGACGGACCTGCATTTGCTCTCGGGTACTAGACGCCAGCATGTGTGGTCAATCGGGCATTCCTCTCGGACTACCGACCAAGACTCGCCGCGCCACAAAGAGAGGACCAAGACTGCCAAGTCCAGGTGCCCACCCAAAACGTATGCATTTGGGATGTTCCACTATAAGACATTTGGTTTCAAGGACCTCCTCCTCTCCTCAAGGGCAGCGAACCGTAGCCCCGAACGAATATACCCACGCCTGGTGCCTACCACAGTGAGCGCAAACCTTGACAACATTTGCAACTGTCCACACGAGACCAAACCACAGCAGGCTTCGGGCATCAGAGCCTAACTTCAGACAATGCCAGATGAGCGACGATCAAAAACGGGTCTTACGCGAGGTGACGTAGCGACCTTACGCGGCGGCTTACGCGGGCCGCCCGCGCGGCACACCACATGTGAAGCGAGGGCGCTCATTCGCGACCTCACGCGCAGAGCTTACGCGACAGTGTCGGCGCAGACGACCCCGTTTGTTTGCGTTGCCCAAATGATTCTCACTTCGTTGGGCATCTGATC